TGTTTATCTGCAATGAACATGAACCTTTGCACTATGAATGTCTTCATGCCAGATAATGGTGCTTCCATATCCCCGGATGCTAAATACAAACCTTCATCTCATCTCTGACTCTTACCTCTCTCTCTCTCTCTCTCTCTCTCCCTCTCTCTCAACTTCAAAATTAGAAAATCCAGGTAGCCAAACCTAAAATACCAATCCCTGATCCAACTTTCATCTCCACGGCCACCATCAGGGACCAGGTATTATCACATTCTGCCAGATGATCACACCACCTCCCTCGCACCCATATTGCTCTCCAGGCTGCAGCCACAGGGCGTCTAATGAGACCTGAGTCAGATCACCTGCCTCCGCTGCTCCAAATCTCCCTTTGCCCCCATCACCTGCAAAACAGACAACCATGTCATCACAAAGCTCCTCTAGACCTGACTCCTCTCCCATTCTCACCAGTTCCAATTAAAGAGAAATGCATTCATACAGGTTCCAGAACCAGCTGTCTTCACTCCAAGCTGCTGCCACATTGGGAACCTTTGCCTGCAAGGACCTCACACATCTCATTCCACTGTTTGTCAGAAAAACATGGACCACTTCACACAACCTTAGTCATGGACTTAGGGTGCTGGGCTGACTGTCTGCAGGTCACAGGGCAGGAAGAGAGACTGGACAGACCCAGGACCCCACTAACTCAGAGGCCACAAGAGTGTGAAACCCTGAAATCACCTCCACAAACCAGTTCCCTAAGCAGCTCTGCATTTTCAGGAACCAGAGGGAACTAAAGGTCTGTTGAGGGCCTGGCACCCACTGCCAGGATCCATGGGCTCATGCTGCTCATGGCCCTGGCCTAGCCCCAGGGCGGGGTGATGCCCACATCTCTCAGGGCTCAGTCCTCAGTGCACAGTCTTGCCAAGTTCCTTATCTTTCAAAGGAATTCTTCATCTGGTCCCTCACTGCTATCCTCTCCCAATTAATGTGTTCTTATCAGTTTGTGGAAATGCTTAGAACCCTACCTCAGACAACGTCCTTCTGCTGTTCACAACCACCCATGGCCCCAGCGTCCTGAGGATGAAAGTAAAACTCCGCACACAAAACTTTGCCGCATCTTCTTTGTTGCCTTTAAACACAAAACAGACCTGGTTTCCTGAGTCCTCACAGCACAGCCAGACCCTCACGGCCTGATTGAGCGGCATTGCATCCCGACACCCTCTTTAACCCCATCACATGCTGTGTTACCTACAAGCTACTCAC